ATTTGATTTAATTTAGCAAGCAATTATTGAGAACCTATTGAAATCAAATATTTTGCTGGGGCCCAGGGGTATAAGATGATTAAATTCCTAAGATCACATTGTACAATGAAGAAATGTACATTACTAGAAGTGACAGGCAAGCAGATACTTACCAGAGAAACTGAATGAAATATAATCACTTTAAAGCAGGATTTTAAAACATACTTGCATAAAAAAATGGTCACAAAGAAGAAAAATAAATGAAGTATCCACAGTGTACCACTTGAATTTGTTAGGCAGGCCTAATTTCTTCCATAGTAATTATAATAGAAGTCTTTTAAATTTTTCATATATGAGACACAATTCTCAGTAGAGTTGTACTCACAGGTCAGGTTTACTAAACTTAAAGAATACCAAACAAAATCAGTAAAAAGAAACAATGTTTAGGATAAATCGAATGGAAATCAAGTATAAATCTTCAAAGGTCCTCTTCAGTGGAACCATACAGGCTATACTTGGTTTTCCCATCGATGAGCTAAGACAGCATGTGAGAAATGTCTACTTAGGAAACTCAGAGATTTGGTGTCCACAGTTCCCACTGGTGACTGATCACATAGACATCTGCCTAGCACACACAAAAATTTCAGGCTTCCTGAAGGGAAGCAGATGTCCAATGTAAGCCTTGCTGTTTATATAAATGTATGGTTACAATGAGTCACTCTGATACCCCACTTAATATGAGAGTTCCCAAATGGCAGCCTGTAGCCCTCTTCTAAGCAGATCTTTTTAAGCATGACACTTTAAATATTTTTTCTGAGCACAGTATATGTACAATATTTTACATACAATAACCATTCCTACTAATAAGCCTAGTCCCTTAAAAATTTCCTATATTTTCCAAAAGTAGTCTCTTTTTGAGAAAGAAGAAATGAGTAAGAAGAGAAGCATATCAACCAAGATAGGAAAGCATCATTTTCTCCCACAGGAATGACTGTGTAGTCAGTTCAGAACTGGTGAGAAATACGGCATGAAGCCAGGCATAGTGGCTCATGCCTGCAATCCCAGCACCTGGGAGGCGGAGGCAGGAGGATGGTTGCGAGTTTAAGGTCATCCTGGGCTACAAAGAGAGCTCGAAGCCAGCATGAACAGCATAGTGAGACTCTGTTTTAAAAAGACCAAAAAAAAAAAAAAGAAAAAAGAAAAAGAAAAAGAAAAAAAAAAGAAAGAACAAAGGAAGAAAGGAAGAAAGAGAAAAGAAAGTATAAAAAGACACATAATTTCTTTTTCACATCTGTTTACCCAGGAAAAGTAGATAATACTAAACTCTGCCCCTGGTAGATAGGAACAAGGACATGGAATCTGTATTTGTAAATTATTTACTTATTAAGATATTTTGTCATTCCAAAATCAGTTCTCACAGCACTTTCATGGAGATTTACAGACATTCATGGAAAAGTCAAATATTTTAGACTCTCAGTCACAGCTGAGGCCAACCAAACAAGGCCATGTTCTGCCTTCTTGTTGCAGTATATGGTTAAAGGGGCTCCTTTTGCTGTCTATTTAATATCAAATTCCTAATATTTATGTGCTCTTGTTGAAGACTTCATTATATAAATGTAAATATGCATGTGTAGCTAAGCTTTGTTCAGGAATGAGTTATAGTGTCACTGGCCACAACTTCAATGTCAATGAATCCACTCTATCTACCTATTTATCATCTATCTATCTATTATCTACCCATAATCTATCTATGTAGTCTATCATCACTTTCCCACGACTGAGACAAAACAGCCGACATCTACATGACAGCCACAATGTAAAGGAGGAGAGGTTTATTTTGGATCACAATTTCAGAGGTTCAGCCATGACGGTCTGGCTCCAAGGTAGAAATGGCAGAGTGGAAGGGTAGACCAGATGAAACCTGTTCACACCAAGGCAGACAGGAAGAAGAGACAGACGGAAGGAGCGAGGGCCAAGAATACACCCTTCCTGTCCTAGCCTAGCAACAGCTTCCTCTGATCGGGCCCCACCTGCACATAGCACATTCAGCCATGAGCTGGAGTGCATTAACCCATTGATAACAATAGTGCCTCCACGACCCAGTCACCTTTCAAAAGCCCCACCTTTGAATACATTAAATTTGGGGAACATTTTATATCTAAATTATAACTATAAAATTAGTTGTCTTTAAACGGGAACACACGTGTACAAAGTTATATAGTCACTGGCACAGGAAATTGTGACCAGAGGGTCACAGTAACTAAATAAGAGAATAACTTGATTTTCAGTAATTCAGTTTTTACAGTAAGCTGGATAGAACAAAACTACCATGAACAGAAAGAGCTGACTTTCTTGGAGCATCTTTTTTTTTTTTTTCCCTTTCTTTTCCCTTTTTTTCTTAATCCTCTTCCTTCTCCCCTCCCTTTCCCAGTCCTCCTCCCACTCCTTTCCCCTTCCTTTCCTTTCCCTTCTCTTCCCCTGTATTTGTGGTACTTAGGATTGAACCCAGAGCTCTCACACTGAGCAAAAATTTCAGGTTTTTTTTTTTTTTTTTTTTAAAGATAGGCTATCACTAAGTTACTAAATATTAAGGCTGAGCTCAAACTTGTGATCCTCCTGCTTCTACCTCCCAGAGTACTGCGATCACAGGCATTACCAGGCCACCTTACAACCTTGTCTCTTTTGTAAACCAGCTCTACCAATCATGGGTAAAGACTGCAGGTTCTGTAGCATGCAGCTTATGACAGGAATTATATGGTCACTGGGCATAGTGAAGCTATGACTGTGCACGAACCGTGGATGAACGACTCTCCTTAACCCTGAGACACAGGAAAAGTCAAAACACAGGATAAAAGGTTAATTTCTGGATCTAATAGGGAACAGACTAAAGCAAGGTGAGCTTAATCAAAGAGGACCAAAAAGGTTCATGCCAGGTATGGCATAAAAGATAGGTTCCAAAGAACTATTATTAGACAAAAACAGGAAAAAAAATTCTGAGAGTCCTGATGAAGATGCAAGATCAATGTTGGTTTCAGAAAAATAGGTGCTGAAAAGTTTGAATTAGACAATTGTAAAAAGATGTAGTCACTGTGCAACTTCAGGGGTGTGGCTACGCTTCTCAGGGAGCCAGTGGCCTGGCTATAATTTGTGTAGCCTTTCCTGTTACTGACAGATAATCCTGAACACTGCTAAATACATAAATAAATAATAAAATTAAAAACAATAGGAACAATTGTCCTCAAAACATAAGGGTTAAGATAGCCCACATACTCATAATACATTCCTAATTTTTTTCAATCTGTTTTGGAAAACTAAAAGGCAGTTATCTCATTCACATCAACAGTCCCATAAAAGAGTACAAGTAAAGAGTTAAATACACTAGCTCTTGCTAGCATCATAAAAGAAACTCAAGGCACATAAATAGATATTTAAATATCTTAAAATATGAATGTGTTTATTAAGCAAAATTTCCCGTCTTTGTCAGATAAACCTAGAAATTTAATTTCAGAAGTTGCCTCATCAAAATTCATGTAAGACAGCTTTGACATCCATCATAATGAACAGTTTTTGTCAGTCAGCAAACATTTTTTGCACATTCCTTTGGGTCTGTATGCCAGTCCTGGAATGTGTGGGTTATACATTTGCCAGGAAGCTGCAAACATGACCTCTGCAACACAAACTACTTAAAATATTTTTTCTCAGGTTTCACTTTCAAATAAAAAGTCTGATGAGAAATTTTTATTGTCACATATTTTTATATCTTTGAGCTTTTGCAAACACATTTCTGACAAGAGGGTGAACAATATATATAAGAAAAGTCATTGTAGTGAAAATTTTAACCTTCAGAACTGAAGTATGCATCCAAGCCTTCTTGATTTTCACACCATCCCCCAACACACACACAACCACTTTTTTCCCAATTATCTTTTGTGTTCTTTCCTCATTGGCTACTGCTGATAAGCAATTTTACAACACTAATGCTATTAAAGCATGCACTTATGACCCCATAAAGCACAGAAGCAAACAATAAACATATAGAATGTAAGCACATAACTGATAATCTTGTCTTATAAATGTATGTGAACTTGACCTATTGAAATGTCCATTTCAGAATGTATGACAGTCTTGTGAAAAACAGGGGTCAAAACACCATTACACAAAATCAGACTCTTTGGAAATAAATCACTTAAACGATTTCAGGATGGTAGAAATTGACTGAGAAAAATTCAGTATCACATAATGAAATAACCTGCTTAAACCCTAGGACCAAGTTAGTATTACTAAAAGCTCTTAGTTGGAACACTGCAGCTTCTGATTTACCTTATGACATTTAGACTGAAGAAAATAATGAATAATAATTTAATGTGAAGAGCACACATTTATAAAATTGGATAGCACAATGTCTATGGCTCTGAAAATATTTTTTTCACACTGCTAACGCAGGGTTCTTTTCAATCCTGTATTCTGCTCTAGGCATATCACAGGATCTAATGGTGACCAGCGCATTTTTACTCAACCAGTGCACTATAAAACTATAGCTCTCCTGAAATTCAGTCAACACCTAAACATAGAATAATTCTTATAGAAAATACTGGTCTGCACTTTACTAATGGGGAAATGCATTCTCAGATGCTATCAGAACACTGACTTCTAGGACAGAGTTTATGACAAATACTCATATCTCACCTATGTAACTGTCAGACAAACTTGAGAGCTAGGAGTTACTCCTTATTTTATTTTTAGTAATGAGAATTGAACCCAGTGCCCTTGCATTTAACTACGTTCCCAAACGTTTATAAAATGTTTTCTTTTGAGATAGTGCCTCAGTAAACTGCCAAACTGCCCAAGCTGGGCTTGAGCCGGGATGTGCTTGTCTCAGCCTCTCAGTCACACTCATCTTACAGGGAGGTGACCCCACACCCCGTGAGTTACTCTTTTATTTATCTTCATCTTGATTTCAAGACAGAGATGGCAGTACATTGGAAAAAATATCTATAAGCAGAGGTTATACCATGGACATAAACACAGTATACTCAAGATTTATTTAAAGTTAAAATCCTCTATTATCAAATAGAAAGGTTTGCTGGATATCATAATGAACATATTAATTTTAATAATTTTCTGTACCAAACACATACAGTTTTAGCATTTTAAAATTACATACATATTTACTATTTATTTTAATGGACACAGTTACATGAAATGGAGAATACCGAAACCAAACAAAAAATAAAACTCAAATTCCAATCTCAGCCTGCTAAACTTGAAGAATAGAATCATGTATTTCCAATTACACATACTGCTGAAAGGAAATTACAAATGTTGTTAAGCCTAGAAATAAGACAATTCTTGTGGTTCAAAGGACCATTCCTTAAACATTACTTTTTTTATTGTCATCACATGAATGAGTAGTTTGATTATTTGGCCTCTCTTTAGGATGAAAACCCCCTGTCTGGGGATCAAACTCACAACCATGCACTTGCCAGGCAGGCAGGCACTTACACCACTAAGCTAAATCCCCAGCTCATTTTTAGGTATATTTGATGAACTCTGTCTACTTAACTTTTAACCACTAAGTCATTTTCTAAAACAATAACGTTTTTCTACAAATGTACTATGATTTTACAGAAACAAAACACATATAAAAATAAATGCATTTTTCAATTTTTACAAGTATTGAACTTGATTTTGCACTTCCTCTCCAGCACTATATAACTTCACACCTCCATTTAACTAGACAAGAATCAAACGCCATGCTGGATTGCCAAACATCTCACATTCTGATGGAAGGATGACACTTCCTCCCTTCGGCAAATCTGCTGTCACTGAATTCTAGGAAAGTTTGAAAGTGTTACTACACATTATTATGAATTTCATTTTCATTCAAGCAATTTTTTCTTATAATCTACCATAAAGATGAGCAAACACAATTTAAATACAAAAGTCTACCAAATAATGTGAGTTTTGGTTAAAACACGTGAGGCATCTTCATTAAAGAAAAAAAGCAATAAATTTATTTTAGTTTCATCTAGGAAGAAGTAGCTACAATGCAGTAGGTTTTCCTTTACAGAATTATTTCTAAGATAGTAGATTTAGTTTTAATTCAGTAGAATGTCTCATAAACATGTACTTTTCTCCATTGTATCTTAAATGAAGAGGGTAACTTATATCACCTTCCAATTACTAATTCAATATTCATAAATCGTCACAATGATCTCTAGGCAAACAGGGCTGGAACAAAATTAAGGGAAGAGGAATTCAGGAAGCATATATTAAACCCAAAGAGAAAGGCAGCTTTGTTTGTGGAGATCTCAGAACAAAGACAGTGATGCTGACTGCCCCTGGGTATGTGCCTCTCAGCTTGCTCAGAACACAGTGCCAGGTACAATGGAGAGAAGACTTGTTTTACTTTCTTAAAACAGTGCTTTATTCTTACTCATAATAAAAAAGGACTAAAGAAATTTGCCCCGGAAATCTCTCTCTTCACATCCTTCTCGCATTCCTTTCTCTACACTTTTCCACACTGCAGCCCTATAAATTAGTCAGAGGTAGACATTGCTTCTGTTTTTAAATAAACGATCCGATATATTTTAAGGATGAAGAAGGCTCTATGTGCCCTGCATCCTCACCTAGGATCTTACTCACTTCAAAAACCACTAGGGATGGCTGACTAACAGGCTAACAACACCGGCTAATATTCAAAGTTAAACAGCATGGCAGTCAATTATTTCTATTTTTTAAAATTTTATTTTAGAGAGGGTAAAATTAAACATAACAAAGCAGAAAAAAATGGATCAGAAGAAAACAATGTAAGAGACACAGATTTCAAAGCAAGACAACAAGAGATCTTCACTGTCTATCATATTGTCTGTTTTCTTCTAAACAGTTGTCCATATCCTCACACACGATGAAATCATACAAAATAAAATAGTATTAGACTGATCAGAACAGGATGATGAAGGCATTTTAGGTCTTCAAAACCAGATAATAGAGAAGTCAACAATGCTGCCATAATGTCCCTCATTGTCTTCAAAATAGCTGTCCATATCTTCATGTATGTTGAAATTAAAACAATTCATAACAGACTAAAATCACTCAGATCAAACAGTGATAATATTGCTGGATTTCACAGCATGACACTACAGAGTCAGCACTGGGTACCTTAGTGTCTCTTTTTCTTCAAAGTAGCTGTTCATTTCATCATGCATTATATAATCAATTCTCATAAACTGTTTAGGAGAAGTTCTATGCATGTATGAGTCTCTACAGGTATACCTGTCCTTTCTGTGCTAGAGGGAAAACAAAATAAAACAATATAAAACAAATTCCTAGAAATATGTGAAACAAAAAAGACAAACAACAATAGCAAAGAGCCCAAAACACCGACAATATAGGCCTTAAGGTGGTAGGAGCATAACTGAGGTGATTGTTTTACATAATGATCTTCAAGACTTCCTCAGATCACCATACAATAACATGAATTATTTCTACTTTTTAAAGTAATTTCTACCATCCTTACCACTGGTTTTAAAATACATTCTAAAATGTAGGGAATAAAATACAGTGAAAACGATTTCTTGTGAATGCCATTTGGTAAGCAGATCATTCTCATTTTTAAGCAAAGGTACAGTAGTATCTGGGGCATGTGCAGACCTGTCATTAGAGATGTCAAGCTGACTGAAAACCTGATCTTTCCTAAAACAGAAAACTGGAGGACAAATGAATAACACCTCCAGCCACATAACTAAGAATGCATCATAGGTCACATTCCAACATAAGTACATTATTTGACATTCCTCTAAGACAGCCGCAGAGGAAAAAAGGCTTTACTGCTTTCTCCTTAGCCAACATGTTGGCTGCGACACATTTTTCAGCAGGTAAGCAAAGTCCCCATCTTGTGCACTGTGCAGATTTCACACCACTAAAATAGATTATATAATCATATCAAATTGGTAACAATGTCGAAATGAATGTGCTGCTGTTAGGTGAACAGATACATCATTATGATACAACAGAGAGAATATGTTTCTTAATGTCTGCAGTTATTAAGAATGCTTTTGTTCCCTGGGTGGAAGAATAGCTATGAAGCATGACCTTGCAAAGACAAAATTTTAATGAATACTATATGCCAGAGAAGCAATGCATGAAACCCTATTCTTCTTTATTGCTATGTATATTATTTAGTGGTTCTTGTTTTCATTTAATGTGAGGTCTTCTCTAGGTCAAATAGCAGCTCATCAAATCTGTTTCTTAAAGAAGTCTAGTGATTCTGACCAAAAGCAAAGCATTAAAATCTAGTACTAATGAAAAGGTGAAAGGAATCCTAAAAGGAAATAAAAAACACTATATTCTTTTATTTCCCAAATCAAATTACCAGTTTTCCCATATTTGAGCCTCTTTGAGGCTATTAAAAGCAAAAAAAAAAAAAAAAAAAAAAAAAAAAAAAAAAAAAAAGAAGAAGCAGAATTTCTCAGTCAGGAATAATATGTAATTTTATGCCTTTTGATAGATTTTGTTAGTTCAAGTATATACTTGGGGAGTGTATCACCAAAGAGTAAAACTAAAAAAAGCTATGATTACTGACCATGCCATCAATATGATCTGCCAAATTAGCCAAAAATAAGCACAATACAATGTAATATAGTACAACACAGAAAAAGAAAAGGATAAGCATGTCCTGATATGTTAAGCAATTTTCTTTGATTCCTTTTTCTTTATTCCTTTGATTCTCTGAAAATTTTATTATGCTTACCAATTCTTAATTCCTACATGGTTCCCAGCACTGTGCATTAAAATACTATCAATTAATAAATAAATATTATTTAACTTCTGGTAATTTTAAAAGATCCACATGAGTTTTTTTTCTTTTTCTCTTTAAATGGATGCTCCAATATATTGGAAAATGTCTACTTCTTTGTTTTGGAAAATTCAGTCTTGTTTTTGTAATTCTAGCCTTTGAAGACAGTGTGGAATAAAATAAAGAAATTAGTGTAATAGATGGTATATTCAGACAGGAGGAAACAGTAACTTCTTCCTGCACTGTTGTGGGTGGAATAAAACGTCATTACGCTTGACTTCATTATTTCCTGCCTTACTAGTTTTCAAAAGACTCTTTTCTCTTGTACAAAACGCAAATAATAGTCATGTGAACAGGTAAAAATAAATACTTATTTGTTAATATAAACGTTCTAGTTGGTAGTTTAAAAACTGATAAAGTTATAACTTCCATCTATAAACCTAAGTTAAAACTATAGGGTTAACATTTCCTAGAAACTTTACTACTATGTATTTTTCCAGTGCACAGCTCTGGAGAATCTAATATCATTATCAAAATTATTAAGTTTAAACACGGGTAGCTGAAAGGTTCTGAATGGCAAAATATAAGACCAATAAATTTAGAATCAGAAGTTAGATTAGAAAGAACATAATTTTCTGCATTTGTACTTGAAATTAATTATCTTATTTTCTTCCCAATACTAGGTAGGGATTTTTTATAGAAAGATTTAAACTAACAGGACTAGATAATTTAATAAATGTATAATTCAAGAGGAAGTCGAAATAGCCTTCCAGTAGCAAAGCTGAGAACATTGAACACTAGTCTCAGCTAGGCTACAAACTTGACGGAGGTCTTAAAACAAGTTATTATCTCTCTTTGGACATCAGTTTCCTCCACTGCAAAATATGAATACTCATAACCTCACTGTTTTATATTTTTATAATATAAACAAATAGAAATTTTCTAAGTAGCATAAAAAATAAATTGTCATGTGTATCTATTTAAAGATTTGTCCCATTGATTTGTTTAGAAAACTCATAGGGCATCCAGTATAGTCATCCTTAAAGGAAAAACAAAACAAAACAAAACAAAAACAAAACAAAATGTTTGGTTAAAAATTTCTCTCCTTAACATAAAGAGGAATCTTCAGAGTCTGCATTATCTATAGATGACAAAAGTCTTTCATTCTCTAACAAGCCTCTTGAAGACTATTATAATTTAAAACCATTGCCTTCTGTAAATACTCAAAATAAAGACTGATTTGGGAAGTTATAAATAACATGATTATATAAATTAAATCACTTTAGCCTACAGCTGATCTACATTTCATTTATTCCTTTTTTCAAGTGGCTATAATAACAGAGTCACCCAGCTGAGATTTTCAAATCACTAAATGAAGAACTACCAAGCATTTCATTTTTACATGAAATTATTTTTAAAAAGCAAACTAAACTCTGAATATGTATAACTACATACTATGTGTTTATTTACCTACATATGTATAATGATGTAAGGTCTTTTATTATCATTTATATGTAAAATCACAGTCTTCCTTTGCATAAATAAGAATATCCAAGAAGACCGAAAACTATTGAAATACACTAAATTTTTGACTTAGGACATACAAAGAATTATTTGTTCACAAATGAACTTGTTAGTATAATAGTACAAAAATTTGATAGTTTCTTACGAAAGAAAAGTATTGAATGGGTTAAAATGACTGATACTGATTAGTCATTTCACCCAGAGTTTCTAATGATGGCCTAGTAATTTATATGTAATGGCTTGTATCTCATCCTATGCATGTTGATGTTAAAAAGACAAACTATCGAAAAAAAGCTAACATCCAAATAAGAAAACTGTAGAGTTAGAAGGCATTTGGTAGTCACACAATTAATCTAAGACACAGATAGCATCAGAATCCAAATTATCATACAATGTTCATTTGAATGCTGATTCCAGACAAATAAAGAGTGTTTCTTAAGCTTGCATTTTCTTGTGAAGAAATGTTGCTATTTTATTTGTTGCAAAGGTAAAGTAAGCTTCTAAGATATTTACAGACACTATTGCAATTTTAGTATTTATTGCCACTAAAATTAGTCATTTAAGACTTAAGACAAGTTATCGCCATGAAATCATTCAAAACAATGCAAAGCTCTCTACTATGTATGTGATAAAGATTTAATTTCATTCCCATCCACAGTAACAAAAACTAAGTTTAATATTTAATAATTGAATATCTACTTCAATTTATATATTTGTTTATTTTCTTTTTAAGTTTTCTACTGGGATTTAGAATTGGAAGGATGTTCACATAGCATGGCAGACCTGCTCTGAAATACCAGCTTTCTTTCAAGAAATTTGTCCTATTGAAACGAGATGTTTTAGATGTTTACATGAATAGCATCACCAAAATGTCAGTACTGCACATCAAGCTAGGATAATTCAAGTTTCTTTCATGAGTTGTTTCTGCTATGTGTTATCAAGAATTTTTTTTTTAATTTAGAAAGTCTAACCAAGATACACTGATTATTAAACATGCCTTTAGAGCTAACTCTGCAGGAATACTGCACATTCCCATAATTTTTGTTTGTTTTTTGGGCTTTTTTTCTTTCCACAGAAGGAGATGAAAGAATTCTGAGGAAAAGAAATACAGACAAGCAACTAAGATGTGGTCACTCAGGAGAGTGCAGCATGCTTGACTGCTACTGTCGAGTCAACAGAGAAAGGCAGTAGCATGTATCATATTATACACAAAATTTTAACAAAGGCACAGCAAATCAAGACAAATTGCTGATTTCAACATTATATTTGATAGAAATGAATAGATGTATACTAAGCAAAGTCAATAAACTGAATAAATGTCTGAGTTTTTAAGGCAGAAAATTGGATTTTTTTTTCCTCTGAGAAAAGAATAATCAAGGACCATAACCTCATAGAATCATGCAGTATAGTTCCAATGATAACATTAAGCCTAATAATTTAAGGATACTGAACAGGACTACAAAAATAATCCTTATTCTAAGATTAATTTGAATAACCAAAAAAGTATTTCTGCTTTTGTTGAAAATAAAATAGCAGATGCCCATTCAGGAATGTGATTATGCTTTCACTATCTCCATTATAAATCCAGCCATGAACAAGGAGAGAGAGCTTGTATTTTAGTGCCTGGTGCCAGATAGGTTGCTCTTTGATCTAAAAGTGCAAATTATAAGAAACACTTTAAGTGCTTCAGACCTAAGACCTAAAAAATGAAAAAATAAACCCAAAATTCTAAAAAAGAAAATAAATCATTACTATTTATATACTAATTGCTTATTTATAAATGATATACATGTCACTTTACAATTTACAGTAATGGTATTTTCATTACTACACAGTAATAACAGCCTATATAAATTGGCTGCTATATAAATTGGGAGATGAAAAAGACTTATTAAATCATTGTATCTAACTCATTCTAAAGGAGGGCAGATTTCCCCAAAAGAAGGAAGGAAGGAAGGAAGGAGGGAGACAAGAAAGGAAGGAAGAGAGGGAGGGAGGTAGGAAAGAGAAAGAAAGAAAGAAAGAAAGAAAGAAAGAAAGAAAGAAAGAAAGAAAGAAAGGTGATTCAATCAGCATATAGTTACAGATCTCAGAGGTATTAGCATCAGTAGTGAAGAAGATTAGATATCAACACAAGGTACCCGTATCAACACAAAGTGATGTGCTGCACCTTCAAACACGGAATATATTTGCCTGGAACATTTCAAAATTAAAGCTAGTATGCTTTATATAATGTTGAAAATATAATTTGAGAATCAATAAATTTTTAATTTTATTCAATCTTGTATTTTTTCAACCAAAAACAATTTAGAGAGGACCACAGCTATCATCATCAGACTGACTAGTTCAGCTCCTCGCTAGGGAGTCTTGAATCTGTCATAAAAATCAACAGTGTGAACCTAATCATGGTCTTTTAATTTGATCACCAAAAAGTGAATCATAACATCAAATACTCTTCAGGGCCTCTTTCGTTTCTAGATTAAACATGTAATGTAACATAACCTGTCATATTACCACATTCTCTGCATTTTCATTTTAAATAATCATAAATAAGAAAAACTTTCTATTCTTTGGCACAAAAAAAAGTGTTTGATTCCGCTGAGTTCCAAGTTTTAAAAATTGCACTCTTCTTTCTTTAGGGTCTTGGTTCAACTCAGATTTTTCAGCTGAAAGATTCTTTATTGTATTCAAATTTTGTCCCATATGAGTTGTTCTGGTTACTCAGTTTATGAAGTGTCTTGGAAATTGAATTGGGTCCACAGCAGAAAACACCAACTGTTTTCCTGGAAAGAGCATAAAACAAAAGGAAAATTAGGCAAAACGTAATAAAAAGAATGCTTTGTATGCATGAAAGTTAATTTTTGTCACTTTGCATATATTTTCTGTTATTTTGCATACTTTGTAAATTATTTCCAAATGTAAACAGCCACCAGGAAAATATTTTATTTGCATTGTGCTTTTCATAGTAGAATGCAGAAAACAAATTTAAATGTAAGTCTGAGTGCAAATTTGCTCATGGGTAGAAAGAATCTGAGGAATGTGCTTTAGTTTTTCTTTCATTACATGTTATAGTTAAGGCCAGAAACCATATAAACAGAAACAAGTGATAGAGATTAACTGATAAACACACTTGACCATGTCAATTTTTCTTTCATTAGGTACTTACACATATTTCTTTACTTTCCTCAAATATTTATATAAGCAGCAATAAATATGTGTGGAGAGTAAATATGTTACAGTCTGGAAGGATAATTTTAAATGACTAATTTACATTCATAAGAAACTACAACACATCAATCTGAAGACATTTTCCTTATGTACATACTATAATTATTCTAATGAATGCCACATCAATTTTATTACTCTTTAACATAAAATTTTAGTAGTCAAGTAATACACATCTCTAACAAATAGACAAAATAAATCTTAAAAACTAATAGCATTTCAATTGATCTCCCTTCAGAGTTTATTGATTTGCACTGGATTCTTTCTATATAAAAACGATTAACATTTTCTTAGACAAATATAATGTATATTCATTGTCTTAGAATAATTGATGGGGAAAGACAATGAATCCATTTAAACACATATGAAAAAACTTATACTAAATACTAAAATATGTTTTCACCTTAAAAATGAAAAATAAAACTATGAAAGTAAAACTTGTACTTGCAGTCATGTCAGGAAATGGAGATTACATTTACTTTCTGCATTATAAACTAAACAATGGGCTTGAGGTGATGTTCAATGGTACAGCACCTGCTTAGCATGTGCAAGGGGCTGGGTTTCATCCCTAGAATGGCAACAGAAAAACCAAACAACAAGCAACAGGCTGCCAGAAAAAAAAAATGCATGAAACAAGTATTTTCAGATACTGAGCAATAGACAACACATAACCATGACCCGTGGGGTCACGTGGGGATTGAAGTCTCCATTTAATACCTACAGGCAGTCTTTATACTGCAGCACAGACAGGCAAAACTGAGAGAAAGTTTAAATTGAACAAAGAATGGAGTTCATAGGTTCATAGGTTCATGGAAGCAAATTAGCTAGAATCTGTACAGCAGAATGTGAGAGGGAAAGGGAAGCCATGGGAAGTCTAGCGTTCTGTGGAGATGTATCCTCTAGTCTTTGACTAAACAATGATCTGCTCATGTGTAAGGAGACCACATGAATACGGCTACAGAACTACCAGGGTTGTGCACGTACAGGACAAAGGTCTTATGAAGAAGCAGCAAACAGGGCAGTCACCTTCGAATTAGAGTCCTCGGAGGAAAGTGACTCCCTAGTATCTTGATCGTTAATTTCCAGCCTGTGAGGCATAGTCAAGGTGTGCTTAGAAAATAGTTTATGGGAGTAACTACTTTCACTAAAATGAGAGAACTGAAACCAATAATCTAAGGTTCACCCTTAAGAAACTGTTAATTTAATTCAAAATAAGCAGAAAGAAGGACATAAGAAGTTCATAATTAAGTGCCCTTATATTTAATAAAACTTAGTTTTAACTTAGGTTAAAACATAACATGGTTTCCATTAAAATGAAAAGAGAAACAGAAATTTTCTTTTATTTTTATATACATTCTGTTCTACTACATAATAGCAATCAACTATTTTTATTTTCTTTGACAGGACAATTACAATTTTTAAATTTTATTTTTTAGGTTTTTTAAATTTCCTAAAAATCTTCTTTTAAATACTATAAAATTAAGTCATTATTTTAAAAATACTTTAATGAGCTTTTAAATTTTCTTTTCAATTGTTTTTACCTTTTTTCTGTGACTTAATGAGTTCCTAAATATCACAATGTAATTACATTCTACAACTTCTCTACTATCTATGATTAATCTTTACAATCCATTTGCATCATCCTTGAACTAGATTGCTACAATTCAGTAACTATCTGGAAATTTATCTACAAAACCAGTAAGATCGATGCAGAGATTCAACTATTAAGAGTGAATGCTGTTGAATAGTAAATGGTAGAAATAAGTTTTATAAATGTGCAATACATTTGCATATAATTTCCTATGTTGTAACCACTTGCTTTTCCATGTAGACTTGAAAATGTGAAATTCCATGTAGTTAAAATTTCTTTGCTCCTTTCAACAACTTATATTATGATGTTTATTACAAACAATAGAATACTAAATTTGGGTTAGATATAAATAATTTTCTGGCAGGTAATTAAACATTAAGTGGTTTACAAAATAATAGAGTATATTTTTGAAAAATGAGTTATTAGTGCTTTTACTGTATTATATAGAAAATATTCTACAGCAATATATACAGTAAATATGAGTTTCTCTGCCAACCTCATCTTCCAAAAGAGACATGAAAAATAACATCAGCAATCTTTCTATTGGAATAAAGTAAATATGCCCTACTATAAAACTCACATTGTGCCTCCACTCAGGAGATTTGGATTCAGGTCTGAATTCTTATTCTTTAATTATAGCTTTCAATAAATCGTTATCTCTGGGGGGTCCAGTTTCATTTGTAAAATGATGATGAAGGTGGAGTGAATTTAGAAGTTCCTTCATCAACAAGTAATGTCATGATATCATTCATTTTCTGAGTTTAACACAAAAGGAAGGAATCACATCATATACATGTGGAAAGTAAGTTAACTGGTCTTTTTGGTTTGGGTAGGTGCTTGCCACTGAGCTATTTCTCTGGCCCTTAAATGTGCACATACTTTGAGCCAGTAATTTCATTTTAAAATTCTAATACACTGTAATACTCTTAGAAGAGAAAATTTGTACAAATATAGTCATTTTAGCACTGTTTGTAACAGTAAAAAATGGTCAGATTATTCATATTTTATACTATTGTGAGGGAAAATTACATGAAAATTATCCATGATCAATATATGAATATGTCATTTAAAAGTAAGTCAAAGAATTGTAAACTGTAGAATCATTTAATTTTTTGTTACAATATACAATGTTTATATTTTTCAAATATATGTACCTACACACCAACATATATGTATATAACATATAAATATTTACATATAGGAATATATATTTACACATATGCAAGTTTCTGTAAGAATATGTAACAAAGAATTACCAGTTGTTTCTTTTGAACCCAGCAATATTTTATCTGATTTAAATTTTGCTTCTATGTAGCATACTAAATAAATACCTATAGATTTGACAGTTGCTTCCTGAAAATTAAGAATTGATACCCAGCATACAGGATTTTAAAAGCTTAATGTATACGGCTCTCATCTCTATGTTTATCTCTATACAGTCTTTCAGCAACTTAAGTGTATGAAGTTAAACAAAATATTATATGTAAATGTAACTTTTATATATCATACTATTGTCCAATTAATGAACCCTTAAAAATTGTTCTATTCTTTCCTAAGACACTTACATAAAAGTCCTTCAAAAATAATGAATTTCAGTTGTTTATCCTCGGACAAATACACAAAGTGTATCTTTGACAGTGAAGCAAGGACCATCTAAAGAGAGTAATCCTTTCAAGTAAAAAAAAACTCATCTAAGAATTTAGAGAGATTCTTTAAAACACTCCATCTTATATGGTGGCATGTGCATTTACAATCAAATATTGTTTGATGCTTATCAAAATGTATTTTTAAAATTGTGAATCACTCACATAAACCCATATGCTGCATACTGACATTTCATTCAAGAATAGATCACACATGATACTTGTCCCATTTGATCATATTACTGCATTCACTGCCAGTTGCATAAAAGTATAGCACACATCTTTGCTTGGCACATAGTATGTGATAAGAATAATAACTATGATGATGAGTTAAGTATTTGTTACATTATACTTTTCATTGTTATTTTAAAATATTCTTCTATTTGCTAAAAAAAAGCTTACCATAACATAGTATGCTATATTAAACCAGTAGCAACTTCATATATATCTCTTTTTGTTATCATGAATCTTTTCTTTTTTTAACATGAATCTTAATTGCATCTTTTTCTCTTAACGTTTATTAGCACCGTTTGTCCAGTGTGGTTGTGGAAGGAACAAACCACTCAATATGTGTATGTAATTAGGTATATATGTAAATGTAGATACTACATTATAATACACAACATAGCATAGGTTTACAGTAGGTTATATCACTAGCTTTGGGTAAGTGTGCTCTAACAAATTTATACAATAATGAAATTGCTTAAGGATAGACTTCTCAGAGCATGTGTATGTCATCAAGTGACTATATATACTAATTATAATGGTAACTCAAATCAGAAGAAATATAACCCTGGAGGCTTATGCTCACAGATGAAACTGTGTATGTGTATTCTTGTTACAAGATGATTTATTTAGCAAAAAAAGTATGATCAATTCAAATGTAAAAATACATTGAATATTTACAGAATGCTCTGGGTTAGTAGAAGAGAAATACAAGTTCAAAAGAAAAACTAGGATATACAATTTCCAAGTGCTAATGAGGAATTTGTGAATCTTTGTAATAAATGATGTTGACAAGTAACTATATTTATATATCATATACTATTTAGGTAATATGTTTAAAGGAATTATCTTCATCGTAAAATGTCAACATTGTTATGCTAGAAATCTTTTGCAACCATTCAAATTTATACTGAAACTACTTACTTTTAAATTTAAAATTCTTTTAGATTTCATTTATAGAACTCCTCTGAACTATGATAATTTTACAGAAGATGAATGGGTTGGCCAGTGTGTGTCATAAAATAAATGTTTTTGCTTAAACAGTAATTTATTCAGATCATTAATATGCAATCCACAATGCTAAGATTCTTGATATACTTTCCAAAAAGAATGATTATGTTTGGAAATATTTCTGCATTACAGAGTCAATATTACAATGAAAATATTTTTAATATATTGTGGTAATAAAGTGTGACTAATTTTTAAATGTGTACATTGTTATATATATATATATATATATATATATATATATATATATATATATGGTTGCCTTTTTGCCAGTATGATTTTGAAAAACTTTCCATAATTTCTTAATATATGCTGTAGTGGTAAATACTTATTTTTATATGAGTCTACCTAAACGTAAAAGAGTCTCACTCATAAAAATGACTACTTCTAAGGCCAATTTTAATTATTTGACATTATATATATATATATATATATATATATTTGACATTATATATATATATATATATATATGAGAGAGAGAGAGAGGTTCCTTCTTTGATTGTGACAGTGAGTGACTTTGTAATTTGTAAGTTTATTTTACTTATGCAGCATCTTTACTTATTTATGCAGCATCTTTAAACACTGCACATGGTGGTTTTGTAATATTTTAGTTTGATTTTAGTCACATCAAATATTTCTGAGCTATAGTACTTACCCTCTATTACATTTTGCTATTTCATCAAACAGAAGTCTCCACCGAGGACGTCCAATAAAGAGTCTTGAATTCAATGCATGATATTTTTCTCCAATTATCTTCTGCCAAAATGGAAATAATACATTTTATATGACTCACATTTGGGTACACAACTCATTTCTCTAACATCACTTTTGTATGTGCTATGTCATCCGATCAAAGTGCTGTGACTATGCTTTTTTTTTTTTTTTTTTTTTTTTTTGTCTTTTTCCTTTTTATCAGTACCAGGGATCGAACTCACGACTGCCTGCTTGCAAGGCAGGCGCTTATGCCGCTGAGCTAAATCCCCAGCCCCGATCAAAGTGCTGTGATAGAAAGCATGTACCAAATGGAAATCTAAATAAGTAAAATGATTTCAAAGTATCTTTTCTTTTTTTCCTTTACAATCCATTATCTTCTTGAATGCCATTTTTTACAATTGGCTAATTTTCCTAGGCTTTTGTTAGCTACTTTACTAAAAAACAAAACAAACAAACCAAAACCTGTGCAATGTATAATGCTATCTACAGCTCACTCACTCTCAGAAGGTTCAGCACATTAATGTCACTGAAGTGTTTCTGCACACAAATTACAGTTGTTGAATTTGATTTATTATATGAGTAAATTGCTCCAAATTGTCATCATAAATTTGGGGAAACAATCCTAGAGAAGACAGCCTGAGACTGCAGAGTTCCAAATCTGTTTGACTGCATCAACAAACGACTGCTAATGACCAAGTGTCTGCAATTAATAGAACATTAGACGTGAATCCACAATGAAGAGTCAAAATGAGTGTAATGAAAGGAGAAAGTAAATGCATGCAGATAAACTGAGTAACAAAAATAATGTTGCTTCATAATTTATTTATAATGATACCATGAGCAAAAATGATACTGACTTATTTCGTGTACGTGGTAAGATGAAATAGTTTTTAACACTGCCAATAAGGTAGAAATCTGACTTGTTTGACAAAATTCATAATTTATTCAAAACATTGTGAAAATGTACGACAGAAAATACTATCATAAAATCTGGGAAAACATTCACTTTCTATCACTTGATCTATCACTTTCTCAGCTCTTTAATATCAACTCTAAATAGTTTTATCAACTGAAAAATGGGGATAGTCATATCAGCTGCTCAAATCTGTTGTATTACACAAGATAATGCATGTGAAATTTGTAGCAGTGTCTAGAAGAGTAAAATAAATAACACATGATGGCTATTACTTAATTTCTCTGGAAATTAACTGTACTTAATTGCACATGACTCATCTTCTCTCTCCAAATATAATTTCTAACAATCACAAATCTCCAGATAAAATACACTTGAAGCAATACTGAAGAGAGGAGAGAGGGGCTCAAAGCCTCTGCTGCAGCCTGCACTGAGGAAGACAGTGAAAGGCAAAGTAAGTTTGGCTTCAAGGACAAGCTATAAGTTTCTGGATGGATTCCAAAAGAGGCTTTCCTCTAGGAAACTCCTGCTCAAGCCACCTGCAGTGCTTTTCTTCCAGCACAGGTCCTGCAGTAAATCTTCTATTACCATGAGGCTTGTTTAATTAACAATAACATCCAACACATACCTGTATCCCATCTGTTTGACTAAGGTACAGCTGGATATTGACATAGTCAGGTCTGTTCTCTTGCCAAAACTGAGAAGACATAAAAATGAATGAACTTATTAAGCTTCTTTCTATATATTCATATTTCCTTTTATTCTAACACATGTGATTCTATAGATCTTGGCTTATAGTAAACATTTAAAGTCAATGAAATGTATATGTATATTTATATATGTGGTATAGACAGACGGAGGACAAATTTTAACATTAATAGTTTGTCCTCTCTTATTAGGTGTAACAGTGGTGATGGAAACAGATACACTTCTACCTTTATAGAACAGACAACAGTTGGGAGGAAGAAGAAGAGTCAACATGGCTGAGCAGAGCAGCCACCCTGGAGTTATTCCCAGCAAGTGGACTAAACATGTAAGTAATTGGAGAAAGGGACAGACATACATCTTGATGCCAAAATCAATCTGAAATAAGAGGCTTGTAAATAAATCAAGATATAGATACAGAACTTTATTTTTAAAAAACCAAAAACAGCAAACCAGCCCCCAGGGTTGCTGGTGGCACCGCTGCCTGCCTGTCAAATAAGAATCGTGGACTGTGAAGGTGCAGTTAACTCAAGGCCCACAGGGTAGATTAGAGATGTAAAACCACTGCCTCTTTGGCCTTCCTCTACACAGAACAAGCTGCAGCCTAGCAGCAAATTTCACTGGCATACACAGAAGGGAGTGGAGACTGCTCTTTTCCTCACAGGCCACCAGCTTGTTTGTTTGTTTTCCTTTTGTTTTGTTTTTTGTGCCCCTGTCATGCACCCTAGCAGCTAACTGGAACCCCTAGCAACAAGACTAGGGAATCAAGCAAAGGCAGTGCAAGCCTCCCCTGTGTCCAGCTGGCTTGAGAGGGACCCAGATATGTGGGGTTTAAACAGCTGTGGGAGGTCAACACTCAAACCACTGGAGAGGGTACTGAAACGAGGCTGTGGAGCCTTAGGTAACAAGAAGCCAGGGATGTGCCCATGGGATGGAACAAAGAGGCCATGCAATGACCAGGAATATCCAGTTGTTCACAAGACTAGGAGTAGCCCCAGGCTGTCCCTGCCCAAGGATGCCACAGCAACTGGGGAAGCCAGGTAGACAAGCAGGGTAAAGAGACACAGGTGGGTCACCAAGGGATATACAGAAAGCTGCTGGGTAAAAACCAGCCACAGCCCCCACACCCAGAGGCCAAGATCACCCTCATACTTAGCACTAATCCTACTGACTTGGCAAGGTCACTCTGCAGTTTTGGGCTCTGACTAGGACATTACGCAGATTGATGGTCATCAGAAGAATTTTTCTTTCTTTTCTTTTTTTGTTTCCTTTTCCTTTTTCTGTCATTTTAAAATTTTGTTTTGCTTTAGGTTAAGTTTGTTATTTCTATTTTTGCTCTATTCATCTTTTTCTCTCTTTTCCTTCACTATTTCTCTTGATTTTATATTTTCATGTGAATGAACATTGTCTCTGGTCAGTTCTCTATGATAAACTCTGGCTTTCTCTTTTATTTTTTCTCTACTTCCTTCTCCAGTTTCCTAAAGAGTGGGTGAACATCCTTTGTCCCGCAGCCTTATTTCTACTATGTTTCTCCTCATTTATCACTCTGTTTTGTTCCCTATGCCTCTTAAATTCCTTCGCCAAGGGTAAAATCACTCTACTAAGGGGAAACTCTTTGCATACAAGTTTCTGATGTTTTGTTATATAAATATAGGTCTTGATTAAAGGTCCCAAATTAGTAGTGTCCACAGTTTGTCATTGCTAGGCTATGCTAGATGCTATTATTATTGCTAATTGTACTACTTTAGCCAGGATGTAATCAATTGCTCTCCCTTATATGCCAACATTGTAATCATCTAGGGACACAGCAATTACCACAGCCCAGCACCCAAATAACTGGGTGCTAATCCAAATAGAAAGAAGCATCTTGTCCTTAGTAATTGGGAAGGTAAGATCTTGGGACAGAAACAAAGACCAAGACCTACCTACACCTAGAAGACATCGCTGAGGAACAGACATTTCCTAGGGAAGCCTCAATACTAGTGATAAAGCTATTTATCATAAGAAATTTATAATCAACAACACAGCAATCAAAATAAAATTAAAACTAGAAAATTACAAGACATGAAGCAAAATGGAATCCTAGACCTCCAGCCCACTCAGCACAAGTCGAGGGGACAACAAAAGAGAGGAAATCCAAAGCCACTGACCTGAATTTTCTGAAATAACAGTAACAGAAGGAAAAAATAATAAATGAGGCAATTGAGAAAATAATCTCTCAGGTAAAAATAAATTTAGATCAGAGAGAAATTTAGAAAAATGATGGAAACCATGAACATCTCACATAGAAAGAAATGAAATCCATGAGACCAATTCAAACATAAACCTAGGAGACTAAAAATTTCATAGAAAGTACATGCAATCAATTGAATGAAGAAAGGAGAGAATATCAAATCTAGAAGACAGGATTGTCATTAGCAACCATGAAAAGAAGAATGTCTTAGAAGCAATAAGGGACCATGAAAAATCAAACCAACAGCTGCAAGGTAAGAAAAAGAAGAACATAAAGTTGATCAAAGTTAATGAGAAAGCCAGAGACAGCACAAATGCCGTAACAAACCTGTCCACACAATTATGGGCAGAAAACACACCAAACATGAATGAAGAATTTGACGTACAAATAAGTAAGGCATATAGAACTCAAATTAGCCATGAACAAAAAAATCTGCACCAAGGTACCAAGAAATCTACATCAAGTGTTCAGAAATTCAACCCAAGAACAGAATATTAAAAACGGTTACAGAAAAGGAATAAATCCTATAAGGAAAACCCATCAGAATCACAGCAGACTTCTAGACACAAAGCCTCCAGTCAGAAGAGCTTTGAGTGAATTATTTCAAATCCTGAAAGAAAACAACCACTAGCCGAGATTCATGTACCTGCAAAACTATCTTTCAAAAATCAATGAAGAAATAAGCTACTTCTACGACAAAGAACAACTGAAGAAAATCATGACTACCAACTAAGCTCTACAAAGTATTCTGAATTTTAGAGAGTTAATGAAGATTGCAATTCCAAGAACACCAATAAAAAGAAGACACCAGGCAAGCAAGCAATTAAATAGAGGAAAGACAAAACCAATGGCAGGACAATGCTGACAAGGATAAGCCAACACATATCAGTTACAACCGTCAATGTAAATAGTCTCAATTCATCAATCAAAAGAAAGAGACTGGCAGAGCAAGAAACACGATCCCACAATACGCTGCACACAGTAAGTGTTTCACTCAAAAAGAAACTCACAGCCTGAAAATCAAAAACAATACTGCATGCAAGAGGAACCCAGAAAAAAAAGCTAAAACTGAAAAAAGCCTAAACAGCCAGCTAGTAATGCTAGGAAAACCACAACAGAACAAAAATAATAATATGTGTTATATATTTCTTCTTATTCCTGCTTTCTACTCATTCAACACTGACTTTTCTTAAAGTGTATGAGGCAAGTAATATACCTGGAAAAATAAACCTTTTGAACAACTTTCTGTTTCTTTTTTCCCTGTACTCTGGAAACTACACTCTACATATAGTCACTGTGCGTTAAATTTCCATAGGTACCACATAGATATGGAATCATATAATACTTTCCTTTGGGTCAGCTTACTTCATTTGGCCTAATGCCTTCAAGGTTCATTCATGTTATAGGATGAGTCAGAATGTCCCTCCTCTTTAAGGCTAAATAATATTTTATAATAAGCATATACCACATTGTGTTTGTCCAATCCCCAAGTGATAGACAATTAGACTATTTCCATCTCCAGGTTACTGTAAACAATCGTTCAACAGACACCAGTGTACAAATATCTATTAAGTACCCTGTTCTTGATTCTTCTAGGTATATACCCCAAAACTATCTTTCTTTTTAAAATAAAATTCAAAAGCCTCCTGTAATCTACCTTTCCCTGGAAAAGTAATCCCACACCACCTCTTTAAATGACCTCTCCTACTATTCTTGTTCTTACTCATTGTGTTTCATATGCACAAACCTTCTTCCACGACCTTCAATATACCAAACTCACTACTTCACCAGGGCTTTGTCCTGGGAAGTGGGATCGCTCTGCCTCAAATTTGTCCCCAAGGCTACTTGACTACTCTGCTTGTTCTCTCAAGTTTCTGTTTAGACAGGATTTTGCTTGGTGGGATTCCTGAACACATACATAAGTAAACTTGCCTTTTACTGTTACCTTGTCCCTACTTGCCTTTGCTTTTTTGTCTACTCAAAATGTTAGATGCAATCTGACATTTTGTATATTTATTGGTATGTTGCCTATCTCTCTTATAACACAAAAGAAATCAGAAACTTGGTTTTATTTTGCACCATGATACATTTTCAGTTTGTAGAAACAGCTCATAATTCATAGAGAGGGATGCACTTAAAAAATACTTGTCATTATAATAGCAAGACTGATTTTATGTATTTCTGCACAAGTGAACATATGCAATAATCCACTTCAGCACTTTTTCGTTATGTAAATATCCAACGTGAAGGAATTGTCAAATGAACTTGATACATCTGTATCATGAAATTTTCTATTGCAGTAAAATGAGTAAGGTAGCTCGATGTTTGCTAATACAAAAAATTTCAAGATATAACAATACAGTTATGAAAACAAATTTGAAGAAAAAAACAAATTTAGTGATAGGGTATTCATAAGACAACTTGTTATACAGACTAGGTAAATACACTAAGAAAGATTTTCTTTATCTGAATTGCTTGAGGTATTTGTGGCAAAGATACTTATGTATATTACTCATCAATTTGAATATAATGAAATGAAATGTTACAGCTAAGTTAAGAAAATCTCTTGTCTTCTTAAAGAGAATTTTATTCTATAGGAAAATGTATTGCTTTTGTAATATAAAATAATTACTGTTAAATAAAAGTTGAAAAACTATTACCTTGTTATACAACATACAAAGTAGGTCTGCAAACCAATGGAAGGACTGAATGTCTCTACACACCCAAATAAAATACAGTCTTCTAAGCTTGTATGGTTTCCAGTCATCTCTTAAAAATTAAAATAACATGGTAGTGATTAGAATTGCAAAAAGTTACAGAATCCCTATATTTCTGATTTTCTTTTTTTACTAAAGTAACTAATAAAAGAACTAATCACATTCTGGCATCTGATATAGTATTTACTATTATTCTCAGATAAATTCAATATGTAATTCAGTATTTCAAAAACATGGAAAACATCATAAATCATTTTTACTTGTGAATGTTACATGAATATCACTTGTTTTCATCTGCAGACTATAAACTGAACTTTTGAATCAGAATAATATTGGCCGCTGCCAATAAGTTTTATATTTCCAATAAACTGTACCATTGAGCAGGGATCCAAAGGTCATCTGGTCTTGTCCTTACTTTCAGGCAAAATCATCCCAGAAACTTGGTTGTTTACCTCCTTTTTAACAATCATTAAAGAGATTTCACAACCACATAACATGTAATGCATTCCAGACACTCTCAATTCCAAGTCTGGTTTCCTATTTATAACTATGAGTAGACTTGAGGTTAAGAAATGTTTTTCCTTTTTCATAACATTACACAGCTAAAATACTTGCAGTGTGCTGTCAGAAACAAATGATTTCTGGCTTGGAATAGTATTATTTCTGTAAGAACCTTCAGAAAGTCTTGAAATCATTTTAGTATTTCAAAGTGAAATAATGTCATTCATTTCTTCAATTTATTTTTTTATATTCTATAGATATATATGTTTACAAATTGTGTCTATTCTATACAAAAAAGAATGGATTTAACAGCAACTTTTGGCGGTCACTATGTCTCTATTCTTAAGGTAATCTGTCAACTTTTATTACCCTAGAACTAAAGTACTGTAAGAATGTTTCCTAGTTAAGTAATGTCACCTCTGAAATTTTTTTCCTTCAGTTTGTTGTAAATTTGCCAAGCAATAAAACAAGCAGTTACGTGCTCCTCTGCCACCCTCTCATAAAAGCTTTGCCTGAACACGTGTCTACAATACCAGTCCTTTATTGTATGGCCTGTTCATCAGTCTTCTTTTCTTCATGGTGCCAGTACTTTCTTAAATAATTATCTTCATGAACGCCTCACTGCTTTATTTTTTACTCGCCAAATTTGGATGTAAGCTTTTTAACATGACATACAGCAGAGTGTTGAGTATGGACGCGAATGGCGTTACTCCAATGCCTCCGGCTACACAGAGGCTGATTTCGTAGTTGAGCGATTCTTCAAATGGACTTCCAAATGGACCATCAATGTACAGTCTGTAGAGAAGGCAGATAAACGTTGGAAAAGTTAAAATAAGTTCATTTTCTGTAATATATATAAAATACGATGGATCCAATTTCTAACACTGTGGTGCTTTGCATCTAATTTTTTCTCATAGTGATAAGCCTAAAGGAATAAGAAATGTTATTTATGAACTGTTGATATCAAAACAAGAATGAGTGTTTGTCAGCATACATTCTCTGAAAGAAATTTTAATTAAATTGTTGCAAAACAGAATCATGCTGGATAGGTAAGAACTGATTAAAGCTCTGATTGTACCGTATTAGTGTAACTGACTGAGTTAAAATATCTATTGATTTACTGTGTTTAATTCAACATCATTCCCTTCAGTGTCAAAGTTTGTTCAGCAATAGTTACTTAAATACTGATTAGCAGAAAAGGAAAATAATTGTAAGAAAGAAAATAATCTAATATACTCTTCTTCTTACCCTGTTAGCTTTATAAGCACAAAAATAAATGATGAACAATAAAAAGTGAAGCTGTACTTACTCTACATCTAATCAAACATACGTGTGACATTCCTTCTATTTCTGTTTTTTTAATAAATGCTAACAAAGTTTTATGCCCCGAGCTACATCTCCACCCCTTTTTAAATTTTATTTTGAAACAGGGTTTCATTAAATTTCTCAGTCTGAATCTTGCCTCACCCTTCCAGGTAGCTGGGATTACAGACTTATACAAACATATTTGACTTGAAACACTTCTTAATGCAACAGAAACTGCTAAATGCATACTTAATAGTCATCCTTCCTTTCTTAGTAGCAGAACACATTTTATTCAGGAAAACAAATTGCACAGTCAAAATATTACGCATCTTAGATTTCATTCATGTCTTTGGGCTGTTTCTATGTTTTGGCTAATGCTGTATAAATGGAAGTGCAACTGGAGAACCTGGACAGGTTGGGTAGGTTCTTTGGAAGAGGAAATAAAGGATAAAAGTTGTATTTCTGCAGCTACATCCTGCAGTTTCCATCCACTTCTATTGCTTGTTTCCATAGCTTGTAAGGCCCCCAGCAGTCAGAATGGTGCAGCAGAAGCAAAGAAGTCTTTCAGCAAGTCTTGGCTGTTGCAGGAGATAAACTTCTAGTAGTTGATTGTTCAGCCACACGGTGTGGCCTTGCAAAATGATCAAGCTTTTCATTCCCTGACTGAAAAATATTACAACCTGTTGCTCCTTGAAGTAGATGTGGATGACTGCCGGGTTGCTGCTGCAGACTGTAAAGTTAAATGCATGCCAACCTTATACTTTTTTAAAAAGGGTGAAAAGGTACGAGTTTTCTGGCACTAAAAAAGAAAAGCTTAAAGTCATCATTAATGAATTTGTCTAACTGTGTTTTCTGAAGAATATAAACAGCTATCAGCTGTTTAAAGCTTAATTTTTGTTTATTTACAGAAAGTATTAAACATAGAAACTACATACCCAACTGCCATCTGATTACAAATAACAATAAAATATTAATTCTACTCTTTTTAAAACTGTCTTGTGTCTGAATAGCCTTCAAAAAAAGTTGTATTTCCTTATTCTTCTATTTTTTTTCCTCTCTAGTGCTTCAGAGATTGACTTTAAGGTCTGTCTTTAAGGACCCTAGAATAATCATATAGATTATTAGTTCCAAACATAAAAATGATGCTTCATGTGTATAAAACACTGTCATTTTACACTTTTACCCATTATAAAAATAACTTTTCTAAAAATAACTTTTCTAAAAATTTCTAAAAAATTTGAAATTAAAAAAACTGTACTTGTACAGGAAGCCTTACAATGTGTGTGTCCTTTATGGTTAGGAACCCCACTATAGGGGATAGTTAAGATTATGCAATCTGTGGGCTCAGTATTCAACAACAGGTAAATGTTTGTTAAACGGATTAAGAAATGGACATTCCTTTGGAATCTGGCATTCAGTCTGGGTTATTCTCAGTCACTGCCAAAATCTAATTTTCCCTAATTTGCTCCAGAGACCACACTTCATCTCACCAGCTTTTGAAGTTACATTGATTCATATGTCTGGTTTCCACCCCTCCGCTGTAGTGGAAACAATACTTGCCACTTCTGGAATGGGCTAGGCAAATGTTATTTTCCTTCCATGGGGACCAAAAGCTGTGAGTTGAACCAGAAAAAAGAACACTGAATCCCTGAGGTATCATTTGAAGGACACTGTCCTAAGGATCCACTGGACTCACCGACCACACAGTATGCACAAGAAATAAATCTGTTTACTGTTTCATCACATTTTAGGGGCAGTTCCAAAGTTAGTGAGCTACTGAAGCAGAATTTGAACCATCATGATTGACATGTGTACATTGTATTTTTATGTCTTACAGGAAAACTTGCAAGAGTGTTAAAAGTACTGTATGTACTAGAAAAAATACTTCTTTTACCTCAAGGAACAAAAAGAAAGCTGATATGCTTAACGTAATGCTGCAACACAGCAGAAATTCAGCAAGTACTCATAGGTCATACAAGCATACTTCTTATTACATTTAATTCATATTCACTTAAACATATACTTTGGGTCAGTTATTTGTGTGATGCTACTTTTGATTCAAAATAAAAATCACATCATATACACCATACAGGATTTTTATTGTGCGTTTGAACTACAGGCCAATCTCTTTCGTGAACATAGATACAAAAACTGTCCATAAGATGCTGGCAAACAGAACACAGAAAATCACCAAAAAGATCATACTCCATGTCCAAGTCAGTGTCATTCCAAAGATTCAGGGATGTTCAACATATACAAAGGAATAAATGCAATACACCACATAAACATGCATGTTTACCTGAAGAACACATTAAATAGGTTAGAAGAAAAATTAATTACATCAATACATTGATCTTTTAAAAGAGGAAACCTTAAAAACATCACTGATAAAACTGGTACATCATTGACCAACAAAAACGAGAAGAGAAATGAAAAGCATCTCTTTCCTATTTCTCTACTCTCCAACAAAGACAGCCGCCTCACTCCCAAAGTTTTTCTTTGGTTTGAAATAATCTGGACTTGAATATCAAAAGTGGAGTCCCAGACAAGTTACTTGTCTTCTCTGAACCTAGTTTCCTTCATCTATAACAGGAGCAACAAGATATACTGATGAAGAAAAATTCCTGCTAAGTATTGTAGTCACGTAAATATTATGACACGACTGAACGTCTCCAGTACCCTCAAGTCAGTGAGAGATTCAACAGGACATGGAAAATGTATATGGGAATTTGATTTGAAGAATCTTACAGGATCAACTAGCTTTTTTCTTGAAATGATTTTTTAAAAAACTTTTTAAACTAATATATTAAAACATAAAACAGTGCATACTATCAATGTACCACCTAATGCAGTAGTATGCAATATTTCAATACATGTGTATGTACATTGGTAATGTTTAAATCAGGTTAAATATGCCTGCATCTGCCTTCTCATTTTTGTTTTGTGACCAAAACACTCAGAATTTCTTATTCTAATTTTTTAAAATACACAGTACATTTTTGCTGTGAAGAGTTATACCTATCTAACTGTAAATGAATACCCATTAGTCAACTTTCTTTCTACTCAGTCACTGAAAACTGACATTCTACTTTTTTCTTTTTTTGTAAAAACAAGACAAAATTTTTCTTTATTTTGAGGAAGAATAAAGACAAATTACTACCACTAGTTGATTACTCAGCAACAACAAGTTTTTTTGAGGGAAGGAGAAAGAAATGAAAACGACCTCAATTATACTTAAATTGATGGATGTGTAAAATACATTTCCTTACATTTATAAGCAATGAACTTATTTTAACACACAGACTTTAAAAGAATGTTTTGTTATTATTGTCATCTGTGACAAGACTACAGAAATTGAAAGCAACTATTCATTTTTCTAACAGCATACTTCAGATGAGACCAACTTCATATATTTTTAAATTTCTATTGATAAGTAGTAGACTCTTTCTTACAGACTGCAAGAAAATTCCAAGCCAAGATACTGTTATTCCTGGCCCACCCAAATGTGTAAGCATATTTTAAAATTTTAATAAGTTTTCTCTTCAAAACACAATCTAATAATATTTTCTAAATTTGATTGTTTTATTAAATGAAAGCAAGTTGATTGAGCAGTTATATAAGGTCTTTCTTCTAGAGATATTCATCAGCTGGATGCTAATTCAACTATATTAAAGTTTTAGCTGGGTGTGATGGCCCATGCATGCAATCCTAAACTGAGGCTGGAGGATGGTCTTGAGTTCAAAGCCAGGCTGGGTCATACAGTCAGTTCATAGCTAACCTGAACTAAATAGCAAAAATGTGTCTCAGCAAAAACAAAACAAAACAAAATTGTAGAGATGATACTTTCTTAAAATCCTATCTCCCAGGCTGGGGGTTTAGCTCAGCAGCACAAGCACATGCCAGGCAAGCATGAAGTCATGAGTTTGATAACTGGTACCAAAAAACAAAACAAAACAAAACAAAAAAACCTGTCTCCCAACACCTCCAACCCAAACACAATAATATTAAATTAAAACAGACAAAAGGAGAAAGCTAATCATAAATTTAAGAAAATATTTTAAATTTTAAAAAATAGGTATCAACTATACCAGTATTTGTGAAAGAAATTTTTATAGAATAGTACAAGCGGGGAGAAAGTATGTCATGGTCAAATAAATTTGGGAGATCTATTAAACACACATTTTTAATTTTTTTTAATTTAAAAGACCAATAATGCAATACTCCAAATTTGAAAGTGATGTTACAGTAATGCAACTACACAAGAGAAAAAAGAAGAACCATGTTTTCTAGCCTTTCTTACAAACGATAGTGATCATGAGTTCAGTTTAGTGAGACTAAGTGGCAGTTTTTGTTGGGTTTCCAAGAACCTCCTATAAAGGGAGGCCAATTCAGCTGCACGCATGTTTCCCGTCCTTTGGCCCCACCTCACAAAGGCAGGCAAAAAAATGCAAAGATCTTCCAGACTAATCTTGCAAACACATTCTGTTGCTCCCACCGTCTATATCAGGAAAAACAATGTTTCCCTCGACCTAGACAGGAGTGACAGATGAAAACAGCCCATCGAAAGACTCTCCTGCCCTAAAACAACACTTTGAGAAAGGTTAGAACAGAGTCATAAGGGTGACGATGAGGATTCACTTCACCTTGTAAAGGCCCAGTGCTTTTTAGATATAAGAGGTACAAGACTGTAATCTCAGCACTCCAGGAGGCTGAGGAGGAAAGGATTACAAGTTTAATGCCCACGCTGGGCATTTCAGCTAGATTTCATCTCAAAATAAAATGAAAAGAAGGAAGAAAGAGAGGGCCACAACAAGAAATGAAAGAATGAGAGGGTAAGGCTATAGTTCAGTGTAAAGGCCCTGAGTTCAATCCCCAATTCCACAAAAATTTGGGGGAGTATCATATTTCATATTTATTTAAATATAGAAAAACTATACAAAATTGGTGGTTTCCTCAAAGGAGCATTAAAGGAAAGGTATTGCCGTAATTTCTGTTCAAAATATAAGAAACAAAGAAAATAAAGAGAGAGAAAAAGATGCTCAGAGAGATTTCCACTCATCCTCAATCATGAGCAGAGTAAACCAGAATTCAACTCAAGTGAAAAAGCTTGAAATTGCCTGAATTTTCTCCACCTGCCTCATCCGCCCTCCAGCTGGTCCAACAGTATCACTGCATTCTACTTACCATGTCTTCCAACATCCTAAGCAGTATAGTACTTGAAATGAAATAACAGTAACATTTTCTGGCATGTAGAGTATTCAATACACACTATCAATTTTTTTGTCATTATGAATGAAGACAACTTAGCTCAGAACCAATTACTAGATTGATATAGATATAGATATAGATATAGATATAGATATAGATATAGATATAGATATAGACATAACAAAAATTACTGAGGAAGGAGTGAGGGTATCTTTGTTAGGGGAGAAGAAAGAAAATATCCTGGAGATTAGAGAAAATATGGAGAGACTGAGGCTATGCAGTTTAAGAATAAAAGCAACCAATTGGAAATGAGCTAGGGTTGAGACACTGTTCTTATTATCCAAACAATGAAGGTTGTTCTTGGGCAGCAAAGGAAGTCAAAAAACAATTCTAAATTTTGTCATGAAAAATATTCTTCTCTCTAAATAGTTCTGATATGAGGCAGCACAGAGAACTGGATATTGATGTTTACAAAGTAAAAATATTTTATGACACCATTTTCACAATATTTTTGCACATCTTTTCATTAAATTTTCCAGTGCTACTGGATCATGTTTTCTGGTTTAACTCCCAAATTGTTGCATATTACATATGAACAAAATTATGCAAAAGTATCCTCAACTATCTTATACATCTAAATTGTATTTATAAGGCTAAGAATATAACTGTCTTCTACTCTAAGTATATTATAAACCTAAATTCTTCAGAGTTTATGGCAAAGGCATCAGTATGGATGAGCTATAAAACTAGTTACCATATCTCTATTTTCAATGTGCAGTCACACAAGAAATAACAGCAAGAATTAACAAAAGAATTAGAAGACATTTTAGTCTTTTATATCCAACTAAAAAGTTTCTGTATAGGAAGTAAAATCAAGCAGTAGACTGGGAAACAAATTTTACTAGCTACTCCTCAAAGGACTAATATCTAGAATATACAAAGAACTAAAAAAGAAAAAATTATGCCACCTAAAATTAAAGATCCAGTGAAAAAATGGACAAGAGAAATGAATAAACACTTTACAGAGAAAGAAATAAAATGGTCAACAGATACACACAAAAAAATTCAACACCTCTGGCCATTACAGATGTGCAAGTTAAAACAACCCTAAAATTCTATCTTACTCTAGAAAAAAATGCCAGCCATTAGGAAATCTAACAATAAAAACTCTGATGTAGCTGTGGTGAAAAGGGAACACAACTTCATTATTGATGGGAACATAAACTAGTATAACCATTATGGAAATCAGTATGGAGATTTTTCAAAGAATTGAAATTTGAAATTCCATATGACCCAGCTATCCTCCTGCTAGGTATCTTCCCCAAAGAGCTTCATCATCACGCTACAGTGACATTTGCAAATCAATGTTTATGGCAGCACAATTTGTAATAGCTAAGTCCTAGAAGCAGCCTGTATACGTAGATTTAGTAGATTTGTATTTTGCAACCAGAATTTAAAACATTACCCAATGTATATTAAGATGCTAGGTATCTTTTTGAGAGAATATTTCCAACTTTTATTATTATTGGTCAGGCAACTGGATAAAGAAATTTGGTATCTTTGTATAATGCAATATACTTGACTATAAAGAATGACAAATTTGAGACATTTGTAGAAAAATGGATGCACCTGGAAAACATAATATTGAGTGAAACAAATCAAACACACCAGCTTAAATACCATATGGCATCTCTCATTTGAATAAGACAAAGTACAAATAAAGAAAATGACAAAGAATGAATAGAAAGGGACAAGAGGATGGGTCCCTCGGAATAGAAAAGTGGTCCAAAGGATGAGGAGGAGTGGAAAGGGAAATCAGAAGACTGAAGGAATGCCATGTATGGGAAGCTAGCAATGCCAGTTAATATAAACAGACTCATCATAACAACAACTAAGACAAATTTCTCCAGGGCCAAGTCACCTCCCTTCTAAATTCGCACAGAAGCCTTGTAGCTTACTTGGGATAATTTCTAGACTGAATGAAGGGAAGAATCTCAGAGTCTTGACCAGATGGAGGCAGCAGCAAATCTCGGAATCGTTCTGTAGAAACAAAAATAAATACCAAGTTGTGAAAAGACAAAAGTCACAAAAATGTTTTCTAAATAGAATTAGTTCCTATTGTCCTATTATTTTAAGCCATTTGACTATATGACATTTAAAACAAATTCACCTACCTTCGTACATACTACTAAATATGTGTGTCTCCTAGAATCTATTTTTATAATTAAAATATTTAAGTCCCTGCAAATATGAAGAGAGCAAGTATTTATTATTATAAACTAACAAAATCTTGGGTTAGATAAAAGATATATGACCAGTAAACACACCAGAAGATGCAGGATCTCATTACTAATGTTAGCAATGCAAATTAAAACCATATACACCATCAGAAAGCTTTCATATTACACAGCATTCACCTCTCAGAAATGAACCTCATGAGATCAAGAGTTAGGGATGATATGAGTAAAATGTGTTCTCATGCCTTTTCTGGCAGAAGTGAAATTGGTACAACAGTGTTGAAAAAACAATTTGGCATTATCTTTTCCATTAATCTTTGTAAACATTATGGATATACATACATACAAATTTCACATGCTTATCAGGCAGCAAATAGGAGAACATTCACAGCACTGTTCACTACACGGTAAATGGGAAAAAATCAAGTGCCTGCTGACTCGAGATAGGGTAAATGATGCTATGTTCATATAATGGAATATTAATTCAAATGAAATTAAGTGATGGCAGTTACAAATAGAAGCACAGTGTATCATCAGCATATCGTTCAGTGGAGAAAAATCTCAAAATATTTTATTGAGTTAAAAAAACAGGAAAGCAATGTGTTATGTAAATATACTATAATGAAACAATCCAATTAAAACAGATAATGCATACAATTCAGGAATGGGGTTACCTTTTAAGAAGTAAAATGATGAAATAGAAGAGTCAAAAGAGTAGACACTGATGACTGTTAATGTTTCATATCTATTAGTTATAGTTTCATAAATGACTGAGTGAATGAGGAGTCTACAGGAGTCAAATAATGATAATAGACCATAAGCCGAGAGTTGTATTAGTAAAATTCAGTTCATACAGAGACTGTAAAGAAGTGGCAAGAAAACAGAAAAGATAAAAGATGTGGAAGAAGTAAAGCGAAAACAAAGAAGGACAATGAAAGGAGGAAGAATCCTCAGTGTCACATTAGAAATATTTATATTGCACAGCTACCTACACTGCATAGAAAAGTCTTTCCACCCTAATATTATCCAGGACTAGATATTCATTACCTTTATAGTCACCCTTATGGGAAGACTTTCTTTCCCCCTGACATTCAGCATAAGTGACCCTAAGTGCACTCCTAATGCACCACAGAATTCACCACATTATGTTTCTATTGTCATACGTATTTTTCTATCCACTGCCCACTTTTCTAGTAGATTTTTATTTTGCAACCAGAATTTAAAACATTACCCAATGTATATTAAGATGCTAGGTAATATCTTTTTGAGAGAATATTTCCAACTTTTATTATTACTGGTCAGAAAACTGTCTGTGAAGTTAAGTACTCATGACCCTTAGAAGAAACCAACTGGTAATATATCAACAGGAAAGAGAACTTGTATTCTATCCTTGAGAGAAACACACAACCAAGCCAAAGTAGATTATACAGCCAAAACTCATAAGTGGAAATAAATGAATCCATCATATATTGAAGGTGAGCAATTTCCATAGAACTTTAAAAATTCCCTAAGTTTTCAATAGCTAGATACAAAGTCATTTGTGACCATAATGGTCACAAAGAATTACTAAAATGAGGAGTGCATATTTTATCTTGATAGTAACTAAAACACATAAAATCAAATATATTCAACTGGCTTCTATTCTGATTTTCATTTTCATCGCTGTAGCAGTTCTTATAATATAATTGGAGAAGAACTAGTAAGATCCAAAACCAAAAGAAGTTGTACTCTAAAGCTTAAATGCTCAAAACAGCACTCGTTTTCTGCATTTGGAGTTCATATTTTTAGAAATAAAGTTGTGTTATTCACTAATATATAATGTTTATAAAATTGATATTTGTTTCAATTGATGATATATCACCCTTGCTTTTCAGTCTTTTTCTCAATTGGTATCTACTCAATGAGTGATTTTCAACATTTAGCCTTTTCTATTTTTTACTTATTTTTATTAGTATGATTGGTAGTACAATAAAATAAGGAAGAGGATTAAGAGATGGATGAAGGGAGGAGGAAAGAGAAAAGAGATGAAAAATTAGTACATTATGTACATATCCTTTATCATTTTTACAAAAAGTATTTAGCTCCTTTTTGAACTTCAAAACATGCTTTCAAATGCAATGGCAAAATAAGAGCTTTACAAATCAAATAAAGAACTATTCAGTCAAACAGCTTTATTGAATATGATAGTCTTGGAAATAAAAAAGTAGGATTTGTTGAACAATTCCCAAGCTTATTTATAAGCAAACAAAAGTCAGAACTCTTAATGCACATATTCATTCTATCAATTTATTCACAAACAATAGGCTGGTCTCTTTTTACACAATCTCCAAACACATCTGATTGTAGAGGTAGTGGGAAAATATTTATGTACATAATACTCCATAGACTGCACACAAAAACACACAGACATGCGTCCATAGCAAAAACAACATAAGAGAGATCACTTGTAAGGCTACCCAAAGTATAAGAAATACATACATAGTGTTCATGTTTTAAATGATTGTTTAACATGAATATAGTAACAGCAGATACTAATGAATGAAAATAAACAAGTCCTTGCATAGTTATCATGACTCTAATTCAGAATTTCACATATACACGAATAGAAAATATACAATTTGAAGCTTGAAATTATATCCTTTTCCAAAATTATCTTTCTGTCATAAATTCCTAGATGTAAACAATTAGTTTTAGTCCGTGATGATATACCAGATTTTTAATTTTTTTATATATGAGATCAAAGATAATGATAAAAATAGCCCTAGGAAAATCCAAATAAATACATAAAGTTTACATTTCATATATTAGTTTTCCTTTAATCTCTCAAGTTTCTATTTGTCAGTTATTTAATTAGCATTCTTATCTGAGTCTAGGGAAAATACCAAAATAGTCAGATTGCTTTCTTAAGTAACAAAAATGTTACTTTTCTTCATCTAAATGTCAATCCAAATCACCTGCTTTGTCAGCAGGTCAAAATTATTTCTTAAAACAGCAGCACAACTTTCCAGTTATAGAATTCAATCCTTTCACAGGAATTCTTAGAACACTTCCATTAAATCCAGTGAAAAAATCCAGAGGATTTTCTGCAAAGTGATATTTAATGAGCTGACTAGGTGATAATATCTGAACTTGACTTCTTACCAGTTTGGGGATATATCTTAATTAATAATGACAGATTTTTCAGACTTACTTACTTTCTTTCTTTTTCTTTCTTTCTTTCTTTCTTTCTTTCTTTCTTTCTTTCTTTCTTTCTTTCTTTCTTTCTGTCAACTTAAAGGATCCTGAACTACCACACCTGGATGACATACTACACACTACATTCATTTGGGTTCTTTGGACCCAAATTGTGAGACAAATATTTGAATATTCAAATAAAAAGACAAGAAAAATAAAATACTCTTTTCAATTGTACTGAAAGTTTTTGGTATATTTGCTGTGGCCCACTTTCTTCATTTCCCTCTTAAGAAAAACAGTCAATCTCTAAATATCTTCAGTATGTAAAACACACCGAATTCAATAATAGTTTACCTAACAACAAAAGTGTGGAAATGTATTGCTTTGGTGTCAAAAAACAAAACCTATTATTACAAAAAGAAAAAGAAAACAATTCAAGGGGGAAATGACGCTAATTAATGTCATTCTTTTATAACCTAAAAGCCCTTCCCATCTACAGGCAAACTCACAGTGTTCTGGTTTTCTCAGTTAAAAAAACAAGAATAGCTGTGGTTAGAGAGGACCTTGTTGGACAGGTTTCTCCAACTCCTTGCTTTCAGGCCTGTGATCCTCCTTCCCTGTCTTCTTCTCCATTGCAATTAATATGAATATTTCAGGTACTTGGATAATTAGACTAATGTGGGCAAAAAAAGAAAATCAAATAAAATACTTCTAAATGGTGACATTAATGCCTTACAAACATATGAAAGTATTCATTTTTTATTAATAGATAAATATTTTCTTTCTCTTAATGCTCTTATTATATTCAATTTGCCATTTAAATTTTTTTTTCAGAAAGCACCAAAACAAAATACTTGGGAGCCATTAAATTCACCTATAGGATTTGACTTTAGTTTTAAAAAAATAGCTAGAATAATGTAACATATAGCATTAGAAGTTATACTGCTAGTCATGCTATACAACTAGTACATCATAATATTTTTATTATTTTACATTTACTGTGCAAAAGAAGCTGAGTATACTACAGGAACAATTGTAAGTATAGATGATAAAGCAACAAGTGCTTCTTACTCAGCCTGCAGTACTAAAAAAGAAACATATAATTAAAAGGATGCCTAGGTCTGCTATAGCAGCTATCAGCTTCTAGAAAACACAACCTGAAAAAGATGGGATGAAGGACTTCCACTTTGTACAGGGAGCTTCTGGAACATTCTTGGCTATACTGGGTGAGGCATATGTGCATATATAATTAAGTAAAGGCCTGCAATAAACCATTTCCCTTCTTCCAGCTTTATTCAAATATTCCATAAATAAAATGTCTATCGCATGTGCAGGTGCTCATTGTTAAAGTCTTTTCAGACACAAGTACCTTGGGACAAGTAACACCATCTAACATGATTTGATAGTAGATAAAATAAGCTAGTTTGTGAGATGCATACAGCCGTCCGGTCTTTGAGTTATGCAGTCAGTAGAAAATTATAATGTAGGTTGATGTATAAAATATGTAAGAAACAGAGCCTAAACAGTTAAACCTATGGTAAAAGAGTAGTGTCAACATTCTTCCACATTCATTATAAGACAATAAAAATCATTTCAATAGCAGTACGCTAAAAAATAAAAACCTACGCT